ATATATATATATATATATATATATATATATATATATATATATATATATATATATATATATATATATATGCTTCTATCCATTAAAAAATATCTTTCTTTTGTGGTGAGGCCAGTAAAATGCAAATTAAAAAAATTAAGTAAATACTGGCTCATGCAGAAAAATTGTTGAATTGCTGGAATTTTTGCATTGGCAAAAACGTGTGTTTTTGTGACTTTTTTGTGTTTTGTATTCTGTTATGAATTTCACACTGCTGCTGCAAATTCCACTGATTTATCACCAATATAATGTTATCTAGTTGGCTAACATAGATCAAACATGTTGAGATTGTAAAACTGACTTGAGACAGACATGAATGCATCATTAAGCATGTGTTGAAAACTACAAACCATCGGTTTAAACAAAAATCAGCAACTGCATCATATGCCACTGTTTCCAGCATTTTTTAAACTAATTTACTGTCTTGTGGTATGTTACAAAATTTGGGGGTAAAAATATAAAAATGTATAATAATAATAAATCAAAAAATGCGAATAACATTCAATGAAAATAAATAAATAAAATATTTCACGCAAATATAAAAATATGATGCTAAAAAAAATTTAATTGTGGTCAGGCCAGTAAAAATGTTGGTAAAAAAAACTAAAAAGAAAAGGAAAAACTCTTATTGTTAAGCCCAGAAAATACAGGTGAAAGGAAGCTGGATTGATGGGAAGATGGGAAGAAGTGTCTCAAAGTGGATGAAGTTGGGAAAAAAATAATGCGGAAAATACTTTGGAAGCCATTAAAGGACTTTACATTGAGAGAGGACCTTTTCCAAAAGGAGCAATACTATACCTTGTTTTTACTAAAAACAAGTAAACGTATCCCAAGAGGCCCTTTCTCATATACTCAAGAGCCTGTTTATTACTTGAGTGCAATGTTGACTCACCTGACAATGTCCATGGCCTGGTAAATGATCTCAGATCGGTCGACAGCAATGACCTTCCTGGCTCCCGCTTTGGCTGCGAACATGGAGAGGATTCCCGTACCACATCCCACGTCAAGCACCACCTGCAGGTTAAAGGAGCACTGCGTAACCTTTCCACGCTATGCCAGCTTGTCTGTACCATCTTAAGCATGCAGACGTGTAATAATGGCACCCGAGGCATTTATCATGCTGACAGGGTCTAACCCTTATTTGCCAAAGTCCACTGGCTGGACCACGATGGCCGAGATAAGCCTCTCGTCGTCTACCCCCACTTCACCTTTTTCATTCTAGCTCAGCGCGTCACTTCGGGATCCATGCTCAACCGCGGCCGGCTAAAGCTGATCTAGCCAATGTCAGCGCAAAATGAATGGTTTGTATATGAGCTGTGGTGTATGTTGCGTGTGTGCGTTGAAGCACCATTATCCTGTTATCAGCCCACTGCAGTTGACACATAAGAACAAAATACTGCAGCTTGGTATAATGTGAGGTTTTTTTTTATATCAGCCCTCTCAAAGCAATCATTACTCCGTCGTAGCTTTTTCTACAACACTTAAAAATGGCAGAGTGGCTGGGCTTCAAGAAGCCCATACTCACCTTGCCCTTGAAGACCTCCATGTTGCGGTACATGAAGTCTCGATAGCTCTCAGTGCGCACCTTGTCCTGTCGAAAAACGAGACAACCAAAGTTCTAAGTGATGACACAGCGTCACCATTCTACTTTCCATTAAGAAGACAGAGCGCACCCATCCCAGTGCGAGAGGAATCATTGAACACGATCCAATCATTCAGGGCAAAAATTACATTTTAACGCCTTATACACAGTTAAAGCTGACAGTCAAGGCGCACACTAGAAATCAAATTAACAATCGTTAAGCAGCATGAAATAAAAATCTCATTTTTAACAGAGTCAGGATTGAATTAGAAAGCAATTCAAAGGATGTGTGACTGGTAATAATTTTTTTTTTTTTTGAGGGGAGGAGGTTGGTGTTGTTGGGAGTGGAGATGAAAAATTAAATGAAACTGACCCTGACACTTCTTGCTTTGCCAGCAGAATTTCAGCCAGAAATGGCTAATTAACCTGCCAATCAGACTAAGTACCACCCAGAACATACATGATGCCGGAAGCTATTTACAATCAGACCAGAGCCATTACATTTATATTCGTTTAAACCAGGACATGTTCAAAATAACAATAATAACTTTAAAAAAAAAATGTAAATAAAAAAATGACAGCCTATTTTTGTATGGTTAAACATTCAGCTTGAAATCTTAAGTTTTTTTCTGGACATTTTTCACTCAAACTACTGGACAAAAGTCTGGAGTAATTATGTTTTTATTTTGTTTTTTAATTTTTGAAAGAAAGCTGCATTTATTTGATAAAAAATACAACAAAAATAATATTGTGTAATATAATTACAATTTAAAATATTTTTGTTCTATTTTAATATATTTTAACATGTAATTTATTCCTATAATAGCAAATCTGAATTCAGCAGCCACTGCTTCAGTATTCAGCATCTCATAGTCCTTTAGAAATAACTGTAATATGGAGATTTTGCTGCTGCTTAAAATGTGAAAACCATAATGCACTACCATTTAAAAGAAAGAAAGAAAGAAAGAAAGAAAGAAACTGATAAAAAAGTAACAGTAAAGACATTTATAATGTTACAAAAGACTTCTATTTCAATCCGAGAATCTTAAAAAAATGTATCACTGTTTCCACAAAAATATTAAGCAGCAAAAAGTTTTCAACACTGATCATAAGAACCATTATTAATAATTCAGTATTCATATAATAACTAATAATAATATAAAATGATAATAACTGAGAACCAAATCAGCTCATAAGATAGATTTTTCAGAATTTCTGTTTATTCCAGTATTCTTATCCATGCTTAATCCATTAAAAATGCTTTCAAATTATGGCAAAAATTCCATTAGCATTCCTGTAGGATTTGATGTTCTGAAGAGAAAACATATTTAAAATCTGTGTATTTTTAACAAATTAAACTTATTTGAGTGCCCCTTCTGATGCAGAAAAAAAAACAGATGACGGAAAAGTTCACTTAACTTTCCTTACATGGAAAGTTTTGCATTAGTTAAAGGGTTAAAGATCGTGACATCTGACTCATGATGGTAAACGACATCATTTTACGGTGGACAGTAAAAGGCGTCAGCGCTTGCGTTGCACCATACAGCTCGCCTCTCCTCTGCAGAGTTTCGACTCTGACGCAAACCGCTGTTTAATGCAAGTTGGAGGAGGCACCAATCACTGGCCCTCTCCAGGACGTACTGCAGTATGAGAGCTGATGATCCAAACGCTCCTCACTTAAACCTCCCTTACTGCAGTTACAGCACTCAAGCAATGACATCCTAATAATAAATCTGGAAAATTACAATGTGGGAAAATAAATAATGGCGAATAATGAAAATATGATGCATAGAGCGAACCATAGCATCTTTTTTTTTTTTTTAAGTAGTTTGCACAAAGTGTGAGTTGCTTGTGACCTTCTACCTAAGCAAATAAGGCCGCAGATATATGTTAGATGGGGACAGACCTACCTTCAGCATCTCCTCATGGATGCTGTAATGCCCATAAGAGCTAAAGTAGGCCTCGTCTTCATCTTCTCTCAACTCAGTAATGGCCCCTGAGCGTGAAGGGCCACGACTTGTGTCTGCGTTCAGCACTAGACCTTGTGCCAACAATCTGGGGCAATGCAAACAACACACACAAAACACATATATATATATATATATATATATATATATATATATATATATATTAAGA